AGCCCGGGATTTCTCAACCCGCAGCGTGAGCTGCTCAGCACCGTGCAAAAAAACCCACCCCAAAACTCCACCGCGCGAGTGACGCAGCCTCGTGCCTGGCTTCAGATGCTGCTGCGGAAAGCAAGCGAAGCTGCCTCCGTAGCTCAGCCCGAAGGTCACGTTATGCTTCCAAGCAGCTGGGTTGCACGATCTGATTTCTCAAACCATGATAACTGGTTTCTGTCTTATGACCATTCATAACTGTAAATAGTTTGTGTTTGTATTATTGGTCAGAGTGTTGATGCTAAATCATGACAAATGCAATATTCTCCAGAAGATCCACACCCCCCAGTAATACCAAAACCAGAAAAAAGAAACTCATCAGAACAGCACTTGTGAAATGACCTGTTCAAGACAGGAGTTGCTCAAAATTGCCTCTGTAGGATGCTCAAAAAAAAGGCAGAGAAAGAGATGGCTGGGTAAGTCAAGACAGACCATATATTTGACCAATTTTGCATACTTTTACCTACCTGGCTTACCTGCAAACATATCGCCTTCCTCTGAGAAAACTCGTTCACCCTCCCTGCTCGTGGACAGCACACGCTCCCCACTCCCTGAAACGCCAGTGCCGAGATGTCCGTAGTTTCTGTAAGGACAGAAACAGGACACTGCGGTGAGCATTGGAACATCCCTGACAACAACTTATTTGAGGAGAGGAGAGGAAAAGAGGAGAGAAAGAAAGAGGAGAGAAAGAAAGAGGAGAGAAAGAAAGAGGAGAGAAAGAAAGAGGAGAGAAAGAGGAGAGAAAGAGGAGAGAAAGAAAGAGGAGAGAAAGAAAGAGGAGAGAAAGAAAGAGGAGAGAAAGAAAGAGGAGAGAAAGAGGAGAGAAAAGGAAAGAGGTAATAACAGCTCCATTTGTAGCTGCTGCCTTGCGGAGCAGGGAACGGCCTCACACGGGCAAGGGCAGCATCGCTCACCCGGCAGATGGCCTGACGCTGCATTGATGAAGACCCAGCGACAAGAGCGTATTGCAGCAGCACCGACCTCCCCCATGACTCCACAGGCTCCTCACAGAGCGGCTTAAAATGGCCCAGTACATGGAACCTGGGGAAAAGAGCCCAGCTCGCTCTGCTGGGTGGGCAGAGGGCACCCTGAGATCCCACAGCAGGCTGTTAAACAGGGGTGTTATTCTCTGTCTGCCTTACAGGCTGCAGCAGACTTCCAAATATTGGGAGTTTCATGTATGCAATGAAAAAAGTGCGAATATTTCTCCCTGAAGTTAACCACCAAAACACTGAATCTACAGGCGGGAGGAAGACCCCATTACCTGATGCTTTTAGGTGACAATTCCAGCTTGATCTAGATCAAACGGAAGTTCTGGACCTGCTAAGAACTTCTTCTGTAATGCTCTCTCTGTGTCATATTCAAAGTCATATTAGAGGTCAGAATAAGGTCTTCTACTCATGATTAGTAACCTGCTTCTGGACACTTAGATGTTACAAGACAAAACAATGACACTGGTTAAATTTCCAAAGAGTAATTTGGGATTTACCTGTTGAGGTCGAGATGAGTCACACTGCAAATTCCGACAAGGGTGCCAGAAAGCAGGTTTCCAGAAGAGAAAAATCCAACGTCATGCCTTGCCAGCTAATAAAAATTCTTGAAAGAAAAAAAAAAAAAAAAAAAGGCAGTCCACTTTTTGCTTCACCCATCAGGAACTGTTAGTCATCAGCGATGGGGCTGCTGAGAGTGCAAACGCCGTTGCTTCAGAACTGCTCTTCACACAACGTGAAGAAAAGGCCACCAAGCCCCTGCTTCCCCCAGAGCATCACGGACAGCAGATCTCCCAGATCTGAAGGGATGAGAAATGGGGAATTTTTGATAAGGAAAGAAACACACACACCACTATGATAGCCTGGAAATCTAGGGGATCCTCCAAGCTACCCCTAGAACACATAGTGCATAAAACACACAATGTTCCTTTGTCCGAAAGCAGTGAAAGAGACCAAGAAGGACAAAAATGTAAAAACTTGCCTGCATAAAAGTTTGCCACCATAAGAAAAGGTACAGACATAGGCAGCTCCCTTAATACACAGTGTGAGATGCCACCCTGCTCCGGAGGACGGGACCTCGGAAGACCCCCAAGCCCAAGCCCTGCCCATGCAGGGTCAGCCAGCGCAGGTTGCCCGGGACCATGTCCAGGACAAACCTTTCACCATGCCTTGCTGTGGTGGAAAATCATTGCCTAAAAGCCACTGATTTACTGCAGAAAGGCAATTCTGCTGTCCTGCTGGGTGCTTCTTGTGAACAGGCAGCTCTGCAAAGTTTGTGGGAGGTGGGGTCAAAGTGTATGACTAGCTTTTGAGTAACAGACTTTCCTTCCTGAAATGATCATCTTGGCAAACATGAAAGCTGTTTCCTAAAGGTTTAGAAATACACCCACATCCCCCGGACACTCTTTAGGAAAAGGTGCTTTATTCATTCATGCAGCCGCTTCGTCGTACTGCAGAGTCAATGCATTTCCACAGCAGTAAGCAGGGGTGAGTCAGAGCGAAACTGCACCGTCAAGAACCCTGACACGGCAAAGGAAACGCAGGTAAACACAGCAGCGCAGCGCAGCGCGCGGGCCAGAGTTTCCTCTGTGGAACGGACACATCTGGCTTACGCTTGTACCAATAAAATAAAAAAAAATACAAGCCAAGTTCCAAAACAGGGAGGAGGGAATTGCACAAGACTGAGAGCGCTCCGAGTGTCAAACTGCAGTGACTTCATGGAGACCCACAGATTGCTCAAAATACGAGACGTTTGGAAAGGAGCGCTCAGCTCCTCGGCAGGAAGGAAGGAGGGCTCCCGGCGCCGGGCCACTGCGGCTGCGCGTGGGAGATTCCCATGTGCCCAAAGACCCTTTGCTTGGCAGCCCACAAGGACACCAGCGCCTGAACCTACAGCTGAGGCTGAGAGTGACCCCGCCGCTGCAGGGGACACGATTTGCAGAGATGTGCCTGGGGCTGCATCCTTCACTGCAGGGTTTAGCTCCAGGCTCTGGTCCAGCACCAGGCAGCCCGTGGACCCGCTCTGGGGCACTGGCTCCTGACAGCGTCGCACCCACTGACCTTAACACATCAGTTTTGATGCCCTGATGACACTTCAGCAGCTGTCTGGGTCTCGGCAGCGAAGCTTTATTGACCCGTGGCAGATACAGACTAATGCAAAATAAGCAAAACATCCCCCCGGGTGGGAGCCAAGGGGGAAGGCAGAGAAAGGTGAGATCCTACCAGTGAAAACGGGTTGAGTTTAAAGCTATTTGGTTTTGTCCGAACCATCTGCTGCTACTTGCTCTTGTCCTTTCTCACAGCTTCTGCTGGCGGTCAAGGGAAGAAACCGCATGGCTGCGTTAGAGCTGGGGAAGAAAAATGGGTCACCAAATACATGACACAAGCTGTGATTCAGATCAGCTAGTGTGCCTGCAGTGATTCACTGGGAGCAGGCTTCCTCATCTGCTCTGGAAGAGGCAACATCAACAACAAAAGGAAAACAAATCAGAACACAAAATCCCACGTTGTCTCTGCCTCAACACCTTCAGTTACTAATGCTTCAGCCCCTTTACTCTTACTCATACATACATACACCTCTCTTTTGCTGCTAAAAATAATAATAAAAAAATCTAAATATATGGTAACAAACAATAGTTTGTATTTTTCCAGCATTTTCTTTGCAACAAGTTCCTTCACAGAGTTTTTCAAGTTCAACTTAAAAGATGTTCAGTGCAGTGAAGGAAAGGAGAATTGAAGTGATTTGTCCAAAGCCAGGTATTGGAGGCAGGCAGGGAAGGACGCGTTATTTCAAAATAACACGGGAGCTTTCAAAGAAAACCCTCTCATTTCAGAAAGGCCAAATTCAGCTCCACTTTCTCTTTCTTGGAGAACAGATTCCTGAATTCGTCAGAGAAATCGTTATCACAAGGAAGCAGGAGGGTGTGTACTAATATATCTATAGAAAGAGAACATGGAAGAGAGGAAAGCGGAAAACCAGAGAGATTTAGGAGGAATTATCTTCAGCTCTGAAATGGTGTTTTTATCAGGGCTGGGACAATAAGTCTCCGTTAACACGGTGCATGCAGTTCGTAAAGCTAGCACTGGGTTGCTTGGCTGGGGCTCGTGTCCATTTCTAGGAAACGAAATAGGATTAAAGAACCAGAAACACGAATATTCGTGACCTGCTTATACACTTTCCCCCCACACCCCGATGTTAAAATAGTGGCTCCCATGGCACGAGCGCGGGGGGACAGAGCAGCGACGCGTCCCAGCCGGGCTGGGCTCCTCCACCGCCGCCCTGCACAGCGCGGGGCCCGGCCGCAGTCGGGCACAGCACCGGTGGGAGGGTGGGAGCTGGGTCTCTGAGCTTGCTGGAGGCAGTGAAAGTTCACATCGACTTCAGCAGGCACACGGGTTAAGTGAAAAAGAAAATGTGAAAATGAAGATTCTAGATTATTCTGTGCATTTGCAATGCAGCATTAGAAAAGCAAAGGAGGTGAAATCCTAAGTGAAGGTTTGATGGGGACGTTTAAGTATAGAAACACTTTTTTTCCCCTAACAATAGGGCATTCATCTAAAAATAAAAAGTGATTGTGAGAATGCAGAAGTAACCTCACACAGCACCTTTTCTTCTTTGCATTGTATCTGAAGCTTTCCTCTTTAGCCACATTTAAATTTACAAGAAGCAAGTAATGAAAAAAAAAATGCAGAGTCTAAGCACAAAAGATTTGATGGGGTGTGAGGAGAGGAGGGGGGTCAAGAGAACAGGAAACCCAAGTTGACGGGAAACCCAAGTGACATTTGGTTTTAATGAATGACTTAAAACCCCAATATTGCTCGCCAGGAAATGGGGAGAGGAAATTGAGCGATGTTTTGAGAGTATAAATTAGGGGCTCCATCAAGGTGAAGGCTGCAGATCTGCGTTTTACCCTCCCGTGAAATTCACCCGAGAGCTGCACCAGGAGGCGAGCAGCCCATCGCCACAGCATGCCAACCTGCCCAGCCCTGGTCGTGCTGCTGCTGGCTGCCAGCGCCCTGCCTGCCAGGGGCGCCCCCCCCCCGGCCCCCCCTGCCTCCACTTCTCGGAGCTCCTGCCTGCGAAGCTCCGAGAGCTGAGGACCAAGTTTGAGGAAATCAAGGATTATTTTGTAAGTATAAGCCTGCTAGTCTGTCCTCCTTCTTGTTTCGCTTTTTTTGCAAAGTTCAGTGATTTGGATGAGGAGGAAGACGGCTTCCTCCCAGCAGAAACTATTTGGTTGTGCGTTGTGCTATGGGCTGACGGGGGTGAGCAGGAGAAGTGCAGTTTCATCTCTTGCTGAGAGAAAACATGCAAGCGTTTTCTTCCTAGTTTTAGTTATAACGAACTCAAGAAATTTCATAATGAATCTTTGTGAACCTTACTAGCCAGACTTCCCCCTAAAAGTTGCAGACCAAATTATTCACCGAATTAATAGGAAGGAAATAGCAAGTACCTTCTTCAGGGCAACGAGGTCCAGCCTCGCCGAAGTCAACACTAGCTGAAAAGGGAAATCTTTTGCTACAGATTTTTTTTCTTTGAGAGAACCACAAAAGCCTGAGCATGGTATTTTATGACTAAAGAAACGCTATTGTAACTAGCACTCGCTGTGGTGCCTGTAAAAGGTCGCTGCTTCGCATCCCCGCGAACGGGAGCATCGGGGCTGCTGAGAAAGCAGCACAAGATGTGCTCAGAGCATTTGTCACTGCATCAGTTCTGACAGAGAGAGCTGGCTGCATCTGTGCTACTATTTTAGTAAATGTCAGTGTGTTTTAGCAACAACACAAGATAATTCTCCAGATTAAACCTCAAGCTAACATCGTGGCTTGTATTTATTATCAAACAAACACAGCCAATACTTTAGATTTAAAGCATGCAGTAAATTTCCCAGTTGAAGTTGGGAAGGAATATTTTTAACCTCTCAGGAAAGCTTTGAAGGGCCTTGGTGCCAAGGGGCAATGCTTGGGGTGGTGCCAGCCCACCCCGCTGCATCTCTGCTCTTCCAGAGCTGATGGTGCAGCAGAGGCACCACAGGACCAAACCCCTTCTGCAGACCCCTTTTCCCCCGAGCACTGGAGACTCACAGAGACAACAAGAACAGGGGGGATTCAGCCCTGGTGCCGCGGCGAGCCCGCGGGCAGAGGGGCTGGGGTGGATACCTCCCTTCGGGGGCTGCCAGAACCCCGACACCCAGCCACAGAGCGGTGCGGTTCGCACCAGCACTCTTACCTAAACGCGCCGCGCTGGCAGCGGCGGGGGGGGGTAGTCGCTATGACAATATTGAGTTTCGATTTCTTTATCTCGCTGCCTCGACCTGACGCTGCTCGCGCTGCGAGACGATGGACCAAAGCAACGGGGACTCCGGCACCTGGTGCTGCTGTGCTGTGCCCACCAGCGTGCCGGGTGCTCTTTGCCTTCGCCTCAGTGAGGACATAGATGCATACAAGCAAAACAGTTCCGCAAGGCAAAGTGAAAAATAGGAAAATAAGTAAAGCTCATGTTTCCTTTGCATCTTTCTACAGCAATCAAAAGACGACGAACTTAGCATCCAGTTGCTCAGCTCCGAACTGCTGGATGAATTTAAGGTAAGAATGACAATTCTTATCTAAGTCCCTCATCCTTCAGTGAGTAGTTCGTAAAAAAGGAAGCAGATTGTAAACTGGGGCATTCTGAGTGTCAGAGGAGGACAGCTCTCCAGCCAGGCAGCAGCACGTGTGCCTGCGGCAGGGCTGACGCGCGGTTCCCCCCCCGTCGCAGCCGCAGCGAGCGGTGCCAACCTGCTGCGAGCGCTCTGACCACCGCCGCGAGTTTGGTTTTTCAAAACACCCGCC